ATTTATTATCTTATTATTGTATTATTGTATTAGTTATAGAAATATTATTGGCTAGTTATATATGGCATAGTAATGCTATATAAGTGCTTCCAAGTGCTTTTGTACAAGTATCTCCAAGTGTCTCTGTACAAGTGCCTTCAAGTGCCTTTATACAAGTGCCTCTAAGTGCCTTTGTACAAGTGCCTCCAAGTGCCTTTGTATGAGTACCTCTAAGTGTCTCTGCACAAGTGCTTCCAAGTCCTCTGCACAAGTGCTTCCAAGTACCTCTGCATGAGTGTTTCTAAGTGTCTTTGTACAAGTGCCTCTAAGTATCTCTTACATGGTTTAGCTATTACACCTTCTATGTATAGAAAAGTTATAAAAAGAGAGCCTTTGCCTCTTCTGCTCAAGTTAAAGTTCCCTACCTTCTCATAGAATCTAGCTTTATATTATCTTATCCTTCTTATATTTGTATAGTATAATATTTCTCCTCTAGGGTAAATCAGGACCCCAAAATATATATGGAGGAGTAAGGTTTTACAAAAATTATTAAATTTAGTGGTCATCTAAAGCGGGGCAAATCACATGACAACATTCATGATTGGTTGTCAAAATAATGCTTATGATTGGCCAAAAATTAAAATAAAAATAGTTATTCCTGGTATAAACTCTGAATAGTTTACAACTTACTCTCGTGAAGATTCAATATACTGTAGTTATTAAATTTCAACCCAATGCAGTAAAGTATTTGATATACCTAAACTATAGCAAAAATAAAACTCTCTTGATATAGTGAATATACTCTAAATTTACTAATGTTTCTCAAAAAATTTCACCTTCACTATAATGAGGATGACTTATACAAAGTAAAATTTAATTCAGTCGCATATAAAAAAAATTTTTTTTATTTAAAAGAAAATACAATGTAAAAGTAAATACTATGAAACTTGGATATATTAATGTTAATAAAATATACCAATTAATAAATATCTATACCTACAACTATATTAACAAATAAAATGAAACTAAATAAAATATTTTTTAATGAAACTAAAGTGATGATAACACAATGAATTAATAAGATTTTATATTTAGCAATTAAATTAGAGTGAATAAAATAAAACTATAGCACATTAATAAATATATTACCTTTATAACCGACTAAATTAATTTGAGAAATTAATTACATGGTTAAATATGGGTAACACCAAGGAAAAACCAGACTTTGGGCTTTTAATTATATTTTGTATCGAACACAATCAGTCTAATTTGCTAGGGATTGTGTTCAATACAAAATATAATTAAAAACCCAAGGTCTGGTTTTCCTTGATGCCACTCATACATTCACCAACTGAACATGAATAAAATAAAACAAATAAGTATGATGATAAAATATTAACTTGAAATTACGTGAATGAACGTGAATGAACCTAAAATAAAAGATATTATGTGATGAAATTCTATAAATTACGAGTTAGCAAAATTAAACACACAAATCAATAAAAGGCCTTTATACTAACCAATTATTGTTTAGCACTGCAAATAGTACCCGAGTATTATTAAGAACTTCATTTTAAAATTGAATAGTTCCTGTGAATACTGTAAAAAGAACTGATAATAAATTAATATAAATAAAATAAATTAGTGTATAGCAAAATATTAGCATAAAATAATGCGAATGAACCTAAATTAAAGGTATTATGTGATGGTAAATTCAAAATTTTTCACTATAACTTATATCAAGAGTACTTACTATATGTACTTCACTGTATTGAGTTGAAATTTAATAATTCTGGAATTTAAAATTTTTCATTATATCGAATCTTCACTATAACAAGAATAAGTTGTATATCTATTAATAAAAATAAAATTAATATAAATAAAATAAAACTAAATAAGATTGATTATAAAAATGTTAGCAGAATAAAGTCATATAATAAACTTAAATAAGAGATATTTGTAGTGAAGAAATTAAGTACACTGATTACAAAAGATCTATAACAGAGAATAAATTCATGTTAAAGAAGCTACATATGTCTTTGTTACATTGATTTGTTGGATAAATTTTTTTTTTGTTATGATCGTTATTACATTATAAGTGTTTTCAAGCACATTAGTCAATTAATTAAATAGTAATCATGATAACGCTTAAGCAACATAATCAATAATGGTAAAATGCTTAAGCATACTCTTACTATTTCTTATAATCTACACTACATCTTCTAAAAAACCTAATAAAAATTTTTCTACTCAACAAGATGCCAAAGCTTTAACTACAGTTACGCTGGTTTCTCCTTTTAATAATTTTATCAATTCAAATTTTTTGTTGTAATAGCAATGGAATCAACTTATGGAATCGTTAGCAAAAGTTGCTTTATTTACACTATTTAGTAAGAACCTTTATACCCATCAACTATAATTATATATATAAATCAAGAAGATTCTTGGTTAAACAGAGAGCAATAGTATAAATAAAAATAAAAAGAATATTTTACTTTTAAATTCCCAGTAGAATGGCCCTATTAGTGAATAGAAAAAGTAAAGTGTTAAAGATAAATAAAATAGCAAATAAAAAAAATAAAAATAAAAATAAAAGTTTTAATGAATTAAAGAAATTTAACACAAGAAAATCGATAAGAAAATCAAAATTATAAATTAAAACTTGAAAACTTAATTATATTTATTAAATCTTTATTGATATCAAAATATCAATCAATCTAATTTTTATATTTAATTAAATTGTATAATAATTGGATTTAAGGAGGTTTCTAACATAGAAATATAAGATTTCACTCTTTTAATATTACCTGTCTCTTCAACACTCCAGTACCTATCGCGCACTCTTTCAGTTAATTCAACCACGGCAATTCTTCGATTTTAAGCACCTTTTTATTGTTCACTCTGCACATATTCTACGAATAATTTCTGACTTTTATATACTTCAAACCCACTTTCTTCGAACATTTCTTGAAATCTTTTCCATATATTAGCAGTTAACAAGTTATTACCATACATGTGTGAAAAATATGCTTACATGGTAACAGATATTGATTGTGAAACAAGCAGCAACAATCAAGCCAGGCAAACCTTTGCCTTTTTCAAGCCTATTCATAATAGTGCAGGCCTCTTTAATAAGTAAATGCTGAAATGGGAGGAGAACTTGTGAATTTCCTCGAAAATATTACTTTCAACACTGTATACAGACACCTTTTTTATATGAAAATCAAGAGCAGCACTTTCAGATTCAGATCTTTTTTTGTAATCAATATTAACAATATTATGTATAGCACCTAAAAAAAAAAAGCAAATATAGATGAATAATAAGTAAATAAAAAAACTAATAATAAAAAAAATAAAAAAAAATAGCACACCAATCAAACCATGCAATGAAGATATTGTTTTTTTAATTCACTATGAAAAAATTCCAACAGGTTCGTTGACGTAACCTGCAAAAGCAGGGAGAGTGCTGTCGGGCCCACAAGCTCCACTAGTGTATATTTTTTGCATAGTTTCTCTTAATATAATTTTGTAGAATAGAAACTAAGCAGCAATTGATAGCATCCTGAATAAGGCTTTCGCAGCCAATTTTTGTTTTTTTGTGCATTGCTGCAATCATAATATCTCTAGCTTTTTTTCATATATTCTTTGCATCCAAGTTCTCATAACATGAACAACACAATAAATGATTTGACACTCTTGCTCACCAGCTATTATACCGGAAAAAGCTTGCTTAATACTTTTAGCCTCAATGCTACTTTGGTCTATAGGTATGTAACGAGAGAACTAGCAGCAATATTTATTACAAATAATTAACAATGCCTCTGCAATCATATTTCCATCCTTACTACTTACAAAAAAATGAGCTCCTATATTCCAATATCTAAAAGTATTACAGATATAAAGAGTAAACAGGCGCCAGTCATATCAGTTGGTTTTGTGTATTGAATCTATAAGCATTAACTATCTGTGACACTCAAGTTTTTTAAGTTGCTCTGGATGCACAAACACAATACCTTTAGTAGATCATTGGGATACATGATAACTTTCAACAAGATATCCCTGGTTGTTTAAGTAAGATATGGCTTTTGAAATATCTAATTTCAAATTTAAATTTCCAATAAAGTGAGCTTCTATAGGCCCACAAACTTTATATTTAATATTTGTTACTTCTTTATGATTTAGATCACGCACACTTGCACCAAGATCAAGCTTGGTTGTTGCATATTCTTTGACGGCAGCTGTAATTGCTAGAGGTGAATAATTTTTTATTGCCTCATTTTCAACTAGAGTTTTGATAGCCTTTGATTATTTCATCCTATCACTTTCTGATATAGGATGTGTGTGATCAGGAGAGTTTTTATATCGTTTTACTTGGACCACTTTTGAAGTGATTAACCAAGAAACTTTAATCTTTGTATAGCATAGACCAGGAGGTCTTATCTTTGTTATTCTATATTTATTATTTGGGATATTTTCTTCTTGTCGGGTACTTAAATCTTGGTGTTTTATAAAATGGCAGGCAAAAGTCTTTCGAATATTGCCATTCACATGCTTGTACAAATCCCATTTTGTCCAAATATTAGACACCAATAGCCACCAAGTATTGCCAAAATCTTCTATTGGAATTTCTAATGAATGATTCACATCAAAAAGAAGATTCTGTTTTACATCTGGTAAGAGATTTAAAGCTGATGTGACAACTAAAGAAGCAGCATCCACAGGTGTAATATTCAAAGAGACAACAGGCATAGTGCCTGAAAAAATAGCAGGCATAATATCTAAAGGAGCAGCAGAAGTAACACCTGAAGAAGTAGCAGGCATAGGCCTCAAAGAGACAGAAAACATATCACTCAAAGAAGTGACAAACATAACAACTGAAAAGTAAAATTAAAAAGTTTTTTTTTGTTTTTTTTATTCTTTCTTTTTCACTAACACAAATCTTTTAATATATAAAAAAAGTTAGTGTCTTCAAATATCAAAAACAAACTTGAACATATTCGGATATTTACATACATGCAAGATGCAAAAGCTCAAAACTCAAATCCTGACAAGTCAGTTTTTATAATTAAAAGAAAATATTGCACAAAAAAAAAAATTATATGAAAAAATATTGTGCAAATAATTATTACGCGGGGAAAAAAAAATGCACAAAAAAAAAGTTCGTTTCGAAAGTTTAGTTGCTGGATAATTTTAATAAATTAGGTTGAATATTGGTTTGTGAAAAAAAAAGATCCTACAAAAAAAAACCAAAAAAAAAATCACATTACAAGGAAAAAAAAAAAAGAAAAAACACGTCATATTGTAAAGATCAAAAAAATTCTTTTTAATTAATAAATAAAAAAGATAATGTGCAATGATGCAAATAATAGCGATAGTGCTTAGTATTCAAGTTTTTGCTTAATTGTTAAACATTTTAAGCATTATAACAAATCAACGACCAATCAAAAATTTTTTTATAAATGACCAATCATTGTCGCTATCTTTATCACGTGATTTGCCCTGCTTTAGATATCCCTAAATTTAGAAAAATCTGCAAAAAAAAAGTCAAAAATAAGCAAACTAATTACTATAAATAGAAATAATCTGCACAAAAAGAATTAAAAATAAGCAAAATAAAATCTAACCTATCTATGTATATTTCAGGGTCCTGGTAAACTCTACAGACAAGGTTATCACTATAACATCTGTGTTTAATAAAGTTATATAATATACTGTTACTATCCCAAACTATTTGTCTACTGCTATAAAGTATAGTAAATACTTTACTTCACTTTCTATATATTCCTAACATAGGTTTCTCTACAGTAAGTAAACTTGTTACCTTGCTATATTGTTGACCGAAGGCTATAGTATTGTAATATTATAACAATTAATACTAAATTTAACTACCTGAATATTGCTTTTTCAAATTCTTTTTTATAAAAGACAAAGTGCGTTATCCCTTAATATGTAGACCAATACAGGCAAATTTGCCTGCGTTTTTGCACTTTTTTAGCTCTGATTTACTTTTTTA